TTTTTTTTAATGCTTTTTGTCTCCTCTCCTTCTGAGACTTCATTTACATCAATATTAGGCATTTTAATATTGTCCCACAGATTGTTGAGGGGTTATTTTTTCAAACATTTTTCTCAGGTTTTCATTCTATAATATCTCTTGAGCTCTAAGTCCACTGAACTCTTTCTTCTATCCTGTCCATCCAGTTAATTGTTGTATCTTAGATATTATATATTTTAGTTATATAACCTCCATATGTTTATAGCTTCTGTTTCTTTGCTAATATTTCTTATCCTTTCATTACAAATATTTTTCCTTTTATCCTTGAGCATGGTTAAAATAGGTTCTTTGAACATTTTTTTCTGCTGATACCAGCATCTGAGATTTATTGAGCTTAATTTCCCTCACTTGAATATGAGTTACCTCTTCCTGTTCTAGGTCTAGTAATTTTGGATTGCCTTCTGTTATGAGTGGCACATTTTAGTACCAGAACCTAGATACTATGTTCTGTTACATTCCTCTGAGTCTTTTAGAATTTTGTTTCCGCAAGTAGTTAACTTGATTAGACCCAAACTCCAGTATTTTTCTCCGCAGCCATGGAAACCATTGAAGTCTGTATTAATCTTTCTTAGTACTAACTAAACTTCCTGAAATCTGCTCCTTGTTTATATGGATCAACCAGAGAATTGGGCAATGTTTATATGCTGAATATGGGTTCAAGGATCAACCAGAGGATTGGGCAATGTTTATATGCTGGATATGGGGCTCTCTGTGAGGCAAAATGCAAGTTTTCTGAGTGTCGTTTCCCACCTCATGCCGACTGAGGCCTGCTGCAGTAAGAGTGGAGCAATGCCTTACAAACAAGCAAGCGACGGTGCCTTTTCCTTCCATACCTGTTAGTTCTCTTCAGCTCCTGTGTGCTTTCAATTCCTTTTCAATGCCTCATGGTAGTTGTTTCTTACATTTTGCCTGGAATATTAGTTACTAATGGCATGTTTGATCTGATGGGAATTGGTTTTCTGTTACCAGAAGTGTAACCCACTTTGGTTGCGATGAAGAAGAAGAAAGAGTTTTCATTTGTTTACTGGCTCTGAATTATTCAGAGCTTCCAAATGAGTAAAAGTTTCTGTATGAAAACTTATAGTGTGATTGTGAAAGATAGAAAAATAAGCAAGTGGTTAGAAAATATCACTTTGAGTGTTGATTGAGTTAAGAATGGATAATACAAAAGCATAGAGGGATATAAACTAACTTAGATGGAAGAATCAAAGATACCTTCAGTGAAGTGAATACTGGTCTGAGTTTTAAGGAATAAGCATGACTTCGCGTTGCCAAAAAGGATGGAGAAGAAACGAGAACATGAAAATGTAGATTCGTTCCCTATTATTGGAGCAGGGAGAATATGTTGCGTAATAGGCGAGGTTCAGGTGCTAAAAAGATTTACTTTTAGACGGTTAGGGAAGAGCAACCTGGTAGAGTAGTGGTTATACGTTGGGCTGCCAACTGCAAGGTCAGCAGTTTGAAACCACCAGCTGCTCCATGGGGGCTTTCTATTCCTATAAAAATTCACTGTCTTAGAAACCCAAAGGGCAGTTCTACCCAGTCCTGTAAGGTCCCTGTGGGTCAGCATCAACTCAGTGGCAGTGAGTTTTTGAGTTTTATGCTAGGGAGAAACGCTAAACCCCATTGCCGTATAGACCCCATAGAGACTAGAACTGTCCACTGAGAGATGGTATGTATATAAGCTGTACCTTGGAGGTTATGTGAAGAGACAAATTGGACATAAGCCCGATAGTGATTAAGTTTATATGTTCATAAGGATGCTCTGTTTGTAAAAGGGCCTGTGAGTAATGCTGCAGAAGGGAGGACCATTGGAAGACTTGGACCAATAATTCTGACTGGCAAGAAGAATATGGAGTAAAGTTATGGCCATGGAGATTTAGAAGCGGAATAAATCTAGAAATTTCAGTAGGGGAATGAATGGATTTTAGAAGGTGATTTGATGTCAGGAGTGAGAGAGAGTGAAGCATTTATAAAATTCCTTACTTGACAGACAGGGTGGCTTTTTAGTGTGCACCACAAAGTCAATGCAAACTTACAGTGTCCCCTATGAAACCGTACAGTGACCCCTATGAAACCATAGGGGTTTTGGAGAAAAAACAATATAGTATAAAAAAAATATGCGTAGGTAGCCTCCAAACAGAAATTACGAAACTTGAACCAAGTGTTATCAATGAATGCTACTTGATTTGGAAAACTAAGAAAAAAGTTGCTCCTTAATTTGCCAGTCCACATTGGAAGTAAACACCCCTTATGCCAGGCAATTTTTTACCTATTTCTATTTTCACTCCTAGGAAGAAATACTATCACTATCTCTTCTTTATCTTCTACCATTCCTTTCCTTACACTCAGTTTCTACTGAAACAGGCAGCAGTAGCCTCCGACACGCCAACTCTGAATGCTGTATCTGCAGCATTTGACAAGACAGACTCATTCTGCCCTTCAATTTTCTTGTGTTGGCTTCGAGATGGCAATCTCTTTTGGGCCTCCATCCGCAATGCTGACTCTGTTTTCCCTGCTTCTGTGCTCAAACGGAGGTGTTTGCAAGGTTCTTTCTATGGCTCAGCGTGTTCTTTTATTACGATAAAGTTTCTCCTTGAGTAGATCTATCTGTCCAACCCTAAACTGACATCTCTCAGTATCTACGATGGAGCTTCGAAAAGTTCATGGGAAAATGAGATGAAAAGATAATTATTTTCTTTCCCCACGAATATTTTGAAGCCTCCTTGCATTGTTTATCTCTAGCTCAGAAACTCTTCCATGCACTCGAGGTTCACATGTCCCCAGTCCTGTCAGGTGGTGTAATGGTTAAGTACTTGCCTGCGAAAGGAAAGGCCAGTGTTTTCAGAGTCCCCGCTGCTCCACAGTCAAAAAGGCTGCATGATCTGCCCCCATCAAGATCAGTCAAGGAAACCATATGGGGCAGCTCTATGCTTTCCTAGGGGACACTGTATGCTTTCCTAGGGGACACTGTACGGTTTCCTAGGGGACACTGTACGGTTTCCTGGGGACACTGTACACTTTCATAGGGTACACTATACGGTTTCATAGAGGACACTGTATGGTTTCCTAGGGGACACTGTACGGTATCATAGAGGACACTGTACGGTTTCATAGGGGACACTGTACGGTTTCCTAGGGGACACTGTACGGTTTCATAGGGGACACTGTACAGTTTCATAGGGGACACTACGGTTTCATAGAGGACACTGTATGGTTTCCTAGGGGACACTGTACGGTTTCATAGAGGACACTGCACAGTTTC